TTATAAACATTCAACAGGCCTGTAACCAGCTATTTCAAAAGGTTTTTTTTTCTTAAAAAAAAGTGGACATTTCACCATGAAACCATTGTGTACCTAAATGAAAATTTACCCAGAGGGAACCTTTTCCTGGCAAAAAGGGCTGTTTGTTTGCATGTCTAAACTGGCAGTGGTCCTGGGCAAAGTCAAACTTGGCAGCTTCCTCATATTCACAGAAATTTGTACTTTCAAAAAATTGCTAATATGCATCTGATGTTTTGCCATGACTTCATGTAAAAAAAAATCAAACTTAAAATTGTCATCATTTTATATTGGCAATTTAAGCTAAATTTAGAGGGACATTTGTTGAGACTTTGCATCTTAAGCGGTCCGACATGCCCCAAAATGTGTCACAACACTATATTCAATGCAGGAATCGTGCAGTCGAGATGTAACATTGTAATAATGTGGTGTTATACTTGGCTGCATGCTGGGGTATGTATGAATTCCTAACATGCAAAGTCATTACTTCACTCCAGTTGGAGGGCTATGGCTAAATAGAGAGTTATAAAGATACCTGATAGGACGAAGTGGACACTGTAAAAATCCCCACAAATAACTTTTTAGGACAACATATAGAAACCCTATTGCTCTCTAACTCTGCTAGAACTTTTTCGTTTTACCTCAGATATTTCCAGGAATCCAGATCTACTGAATAATACTGATGAGACTCCCTTTATCTGTCATCTAGCTCTTGTATCTGCAGATCTCTGTCTCTCTCTCCTCTCTCTCTCTCTCAAAAGCCGCGCCCAACTGTCGGACTTCCGGTACCAGATCACTACAAAAAAAGTACTCACATCCTTCTGTCATCAAGAATGTGTTTGCATGTATTAAAAAGGATGCTGGATATCGTGGAATGTCCTACTGCTTCAGATCAAACTTTTATGGTAACCCATTAATATATCTTGGCCTTAGTATAACGTTATTTCATAACGTGTAAAATTTTCCCGCTCCGCCCGACCATAGAAGTAGAGTCAAAGAAAACCCGCAGTGAATACTGGGTCACATCTCGGCACATCCGGTCACTTGAAGCGCCGCAGTTGACTCTGCGTCCAAGTTATTATATCTTTTGATTTTTTGTTTAGATATTATATTATTGATTATTGATTGAGAATAAATTATTACAAAAAAGATAATTATAAATTCTTTTTTATTGTTATTTTATATATTTTCTTTTTGCTTCAACTTTTGCTGGATCTCAGCACTGCTAACACAACGTTCAATTTGAGCAAATGTAGCATTTAAACCTTCGCATTTAGAGCAATTAGGTCCTACCATTAAAAGTATAGTAAACGTACTAAAATATATTCTAAAGTCAATTTTTGCTTAAATATCCTGCATAGCAACTAGTACCTGTACTTTTCTTTTATAGACAGTGCTAGAGACTGCGCTAGTAGGCCTATAGGCTTATATTAGATGCGCGTTAATTTATTTTCAAAAGGTCTCATTTTTTTCCTCAATTCCAAGTATATTTTCTCAATGCCTGGTAACAAACGGCTTTTTTAAGAGAATGTCGTGTTTCGTGTAAAACATATTGACTGTGCCCTATTAACATATCGTCCAGCTAATCATGCT